GCAGTGGCCACTCCTGGCCACCGCAGCCTCGACCTGCTGGACTCCGGCGATCCTTCTGCCGCAGCCTTCCAAGTAGCTGGAACTACAGGCGTGCTACCATGCCCAGCTAATTATTTATTTATTTATTGTAGAGATGAGGTCTCACTAACTTGCCCAGGCGGGTCTCGAACCCGCGGGCTCAGGCAACCCACTCACCTCAGCCTCCCAAAGCGCGGGATTACAGGCTGAGCCACCGAGTCTGGCTTCTATTTTTTTTTTTAAATTGTATTATTTCTTATTGTTGTGTTGTTATCCATCTCCCCCCCCCCCGCCACCCCCTCTCCAATATTTTTTATCTGTGGTTGGTTGAATCTGGATATGGAACCCATGGATATGAAGGACTGACTAATCATTTATTAAACAGTCCAGATTTCAGTTCTGAGAACTTTATAAGAAGTGGGGCAGAAGGAGGATAAAGAGAAAGAAGGAGTGAGTGTGTGTGTAAGGAGTGGCTGACAAATCATCTCAGAAGGATCCTGGGTGACCAGAAGGCACTTTTTACTATAATTTTTATCAAATTATACTGCTGTTTCTTTAGTGAATGCAGGTAACAAAATTGTACAATTCTTAATCAATAAGAAGAGTTGAGCCCAGAGTGGTCAGAGCTGTGATTTCTAATTTGTCTAGGCTGAACCCAGGGAGGTCTGATGAGTTTTTGGGATGATGGGAGCTGAGAAACCAAGAGTCTACACTCACACTTAGTGTTGCCCACATTATTAAATGTAAATGGATGTTGTTTTAATTAGTAAAGTCATAATCAGTTGAAAGTTAAAAACTAGTAATAGTGCTGTATAGGCTGGCATTTTCTCAGGGAACAGATAACAGAAAGGATCATTTTTTTGTGTGTGTTTGTGGGGTTTTGACATCGTTTAGTGTTAAAAATGGTTCCTTATACTTGTAGTGCAATTGGTAAGAGGTACTAGCCTAGATCATAGCATCTCAGATAGCTACCAAACACCAAATTCACAAATTTCTAGCTGTCTCATTCAGGAGAGGAGAGAAAGGGATAGGGAGAAAGTGTTATGATATTATTTATGCTGTGGCCTGTATTCTACCAATGCTGAATACACAAGATTGGCGAGAAGTGACATTGTGTGCTGTACGTCCCCCAGTACAAGGGTGTTTCAACTACAAAAAGAACCTGGGCTATTTTTTTGGTGTGTATTTTAATTCCTTCCCTTATTTTGGAGCCTCTTAAGTGAAGAGGAAAAGGGCATATGATAATGATGTGTGGATGCAGAGAGCAAAAAGAGAAACCTGGAAAAATAAGGAAAATGGAAGGGAGAAAATTAAAAAGTAAGGGAGGAATCGCGTAAAGAGAGAGAAGTAAAGTATATTCCATGGAAAAGATCCAGAACCAAGGTGTCTTTTATTTGCTCTTAAGCTGAATGTATTTTCTTTTATGTCTTTGTGGTGGAGTAAGAGAACCCAGG